TAATAAAAGTTATATAAATATGGTCTTAAAATATAGGTTTTGGTTTTGGGTGTGTGTGGGTTCTTCACTCTATACACAGCTAACTTTATGTTATGCCCTGCAGTGTTGCCACATAGTACTAGAGTAATCTGTCCTATGTCTAATGTCCTCCTTCCATGACTGCAGATTCTACTGGCATCTTCCTGCAGATGAGCTTAGTTTCATTGCAGTTGAAAATTCACATTGGATGGTATCCTTTCTCTTTATTTAGTCTCTTCAACACTGCTGGAAATTCAGCAGCAGCTTCCTCATCAGCAGACACAGCCTCTGTAGTAATTTCAGTCCAAACCTATTCCTGAGTCTGTGTAACCATCCTTTATTTGCAGTAAATGGCTTGGTGTTATGTTATTTCAGAGGCTCCCTGCTGAAGTCTTCATATAGGCTGAATACTTTCTAACACAAAATATTACCACCAATCCGGATGTGTTTTTCTGTTCATGTGGTCCACTTACAAATTTAATGCCCTGCCCCACCTTCTTTTGTACTCAGATTGAAAAACAGTCTTCAACACTTTTATCTTTTTGGTTCTGGGGACTGGAACCCAGGACTTTGCAGAGGCAGAGCATGCACTCTTATCACTGATCTACAGCCCCAACTCTCTTTTTCATCTTAACTAATTACTAATCACATAATCACATGCTGTGGCTGCAGCTTTTGTAGCTTGGGTTGTGACAGCAAAACCAGCACAAATTTATTTTTTCTTCACAGTTTCAGACAGATCTTAGGAACCTTGGTATATAGTTTTGTGGTTTTTTTTTTTTTTTTTTTTCCTGTCCTTATGAGAATTTTTCACTTAAAGGAAGCACTTATGGTTTCTTTGGCATGTCCAAATTGCCAGCATCACTACTCTTGTACATTGAGGCCATGATTAAGTAAAATAAAGGTTACTTGAACACTGGTACTGCTACTGTGACAGTAAATTTGATAACTTAGATAACTAGTAAGTGACTAACAGGCATGGAATATAGCCAGCATGATTGGACAAAGGGATGATTCATGTATTAAGCAGGAATAAATAAAGATTTCATAACACTGTTCAGAATGGCTTACAATTTAAAATTTATGATTGTTTATTTCTGGATTTTTTTCAGTTAGTATTTTTGATCCACAATTGGTCATGGGTAACTAAAATCATAGAAAGTAAAACCATGGATAAAGAGAACTATCGTATTCTACCATTGTTGGTAGTAGTGTTTCATAAAATCAGTTCAATCCACTTAGATGATGATGTTCATTTCCTCTGTATCCTTCCTGATTTTCTGCATACAAGATCTGCCAATTCCTGAGAAAGGAGCATTGACTTTTTAGTAGTAAGTGTGACTATGTCTATTTATCCTTTCAATACTTTCAGGTTTTGCTTTACGTATTCTTGCGTGCGTGTTACATTAGGATTCTTGTCTTCTTGGTGAACTGGCCCTTTTATCATTATGTAATGCTTCTCTGTCCCTGATCATTTTCTTTTCCCTAAAGTGTCTTTACTCCAGCTCTTAAAAAAAAAAAAAAAAAAAAAAGAACGCCTTTATCAAGACATACAATATACTATTTACCTATTTAAAGTGTACGATTGAATGGGTTTTAGTATATTCACAGTCATATAACTGTCAACAAAATCAATTTTAGAATATTTTATCACTCTAAAAAGAAACCATATGCCATATGCCATTAACAGTTATTTCCTATTCCCCTTAACTTTTCCCAACCATACCCTACCCCCTGCTATACTCCAGCACTAGGCATTCACTAAATTAATTTCAGTTTCTATGGATTTTCCTCTACTGGACATCTAAATCATAATATGTGGTCACTTGTGACTGGTTCCTATCACTAAGCATAATAATTATCATTCATGTTCCTTGTTTCAGGACATCTTTTTATTTATTCATTTTTTCATTTGACAGACTGGGTTAATTCTAATTTTGGGCCATTATGAATAATGTTGCTATGCATAATATTTTGCTTGAATTTTTTTTTTCATTTTCTAAGTGTATATCTAGAATGGAATCATGTGTTTGACATTTTGAAGAACTACCAGCATATTTTTCATAGTGGCTATACCATTTTTACATTCCATGGGTACTTTATGCAAATTGCAAATTCTCCATATCCTAGCCAACACTTAAATTTTTTATTGTCTTTTTTGTGATAGCCACCCTTAATAGATGTATCTCATTATAGTCTTTTTAGTTTTGTTTTTTGTGGTTTTGGTACTGGGGATTGAACTCAGGGGCAGTTGGCCAGTGAGCTACATCCCTAGCCCTTTTATTGTGAGGCAAGTTTTTGCTACATAGGTTGGGATCTCGTTTACTTGCTGAGGCTAGCCTCAAACTTGTGATCCTTCTGCTTCAGCCTCCCTAGTCACTGGCATTACAAGCGTGCACCACTGTGCCCTGCTTGTTGTAGTTTCTTTTCTTTCTTTTTTTAATTCTTTTGTAGGTGTAGATGGACAGAATGCCTTATTTTTTTTTATGTGGGGCTAAGGATCGAACCCAATGCTTCATACAGGCTGAGCAAGTGCTCTGCCACTGAGCTACAGCCCCAGCCCTTGGTGTAGTTTTTTAATTGCATTATGTTGAGCATGTTTTCATGTACTTTTTGGTATCTGGCTTTCTTTTGATTAGTATTTGTATAGTGCATCCTTTTTCTATCCTTTTACTTTTAATGTATCTATATTATATTTTAAGTGAGTTTTATTTAGATAGCATATAGGTCTTCTTCCTCAAGTAAAATATTAGAAACCTTATCACAATATGGGCCTCTTTGTTGCCCCTCTCTCCTTATGTTGTAGTTATAGTTGTATTCTATATTACCTCTGTATATGCTAAAAATTCCATCAGACAAAAGTTGGAATTCTTATTTCTAAACACCAAACATTTTAAAGAACTAAAGAGACTATTTACTGTTATTTATAATTTCTGTTCCTTTTTCTTCATTCCTGATGTTTTTTCTTTCTGATATCATATTGCTTTTATCTGAAGAATTCCTTTAGAATGAGTCTATGGCCATATCAGGTGTTGGGCTTCCTCAGTACTATTGATGCTGGTTCTGTTATCTGTAAGGGTCTCTAGCACTAGCTGTACCAGTAATGGTGAGGGGCCCAGGTGCTTCACAAGGAGAGGCCAGGGCAAGAATCAGAGCACCTCTTCTGTGGCACTCACATGCAGTCCATTAAGCAATGCATGACAGGCAAGGTGTGGGGGTAGGCAGCCAGGAGTAGAACTGCATAGTTGTGGTGTTCCTTTCTGCTACTGTAGGCATGTCCACCCAAGTGTGGGACCTCAGACCAACCCCTAACTGCAGGCACTTGGTGACAGGATAGTAGTAGCAAGACCCTCCACCCTCACTTCTGTCCTGTCTGGGATGGAGCAGAACAAAGTCAAGGCAAAATTCCTCCTGGGGCCTGTCTTGGCTATGCACACTCAGGGTCAGGGCAGTGGGGTTGGGGGGCTTTTATTCTAGAATTGCTTTAGATGTAATGCCCTCCATAGAACCAGCAAGAGTGAATCACATCTGCAACCAAGCAATATTCCTTTCAGTGGAAGTGCATGAGCAAGAGAAGAATGCTCCAGGCATCAGGCAAGGTTCTCCCCCCCCCCCCCGCCCCCTTAGACTGCAGGTCCCTCAGTAATTAGATCTCCAGCATTGCTCAAAGCTATCCCAGCAGTCCTCCATAGGCAAAGCAGCAGTGGGACCCATGGAGTTTTTTCCCTGCCCTGTTAATGACAGGAGCCTGTTTGGGTGAAGGGGTGAGGGGTCCCTTCATTTCAAGCACTAGAGTGAACCCCCATGCTACTTAATGATCATGCCCCTGGTTTCTAAGGGCATCATCCCCAGTCTCCCAGTTCTTGAGGGTATTGCCTTCTGTTCTCATGTCACAAACCCTGTTTATGACAGTGTAGGACACACAGCAGGTTTGAATCATTCATCTGCTGAGCCATGTTTGGTTCCTGAGGCAGCTACCTGCTAAGCCAGTGCAGTGGAATGTCGAAGTTCCAGAAATGTGAATATATTGGGGTTTCTAATCCTTAAAGCAGCCCAAAGTCAGACAGTAGGTCTCTTCTCAACATGGCTCCTGAACTGCACCCTATATATTCTCTGGAAGGTGATATTAAATCCTTTTCAAAGCAAGTCTGTTAGATAGATTTCAGGTAACTTACCTAGGTAGGGCAGCAAGCCAGTGGGCATAGTGAAACTTTGCAAAAGCTAGGGTTACCAGTATCCACACTGATTATTTTGTGAGACTGTTTTTTACCCTTACCCTGCAAATGGAACTTTTTTTTACCCTTTCCCTATCCCAGTTGTAGGGTCCGGTGGCAAGTGCTGGGCTATTTTGTTTCTCTTACTGTATTCTTCTCCCAGGTTTATAAGAATTTACAAGGTTACAGTATCTCGCTCCCTGCTTTCCAGTGTTCTCCCATGGTCACTCACTTGTGAATTCAACTATATACCTATTTGTTTCATTGTTGAGGGGGAGGTGAGTGCTGGGTACCTCTAATAGCCATCTTGAAATTCCCATTAAATTTCCCTTATATATACCAAAAGTTTCCCATAAGAGCCAGTGTTATTCAAATCAAAACTTTTTTTTCTTTTCACCATATAATAAGGAAAATACAAGAGTTAGGATTATAATGTGATTTTATATAAGAAGCATACCCAAGAGAAGATTGAGACTTTGAATAGCATTGACACATAGAAGCAATTTTGTCTAGTTAGTAATATGTGTTTTTAAGGAGTGTCTCAGATCACCTGACTAAGTAGAGGCTAAGCAGCGTTCTTTACACTCTATTTAAACTTCAAGCTTATATCATTTCTAACAAGCGAAATCACAAGGTGTTCTTAGATTCTTTTTTCTCCCAATGAACAAACTTAAATGAAGCTTTAGAAGTGTAATTTTGTATATGTGAAGCTAAAACAAGGTGATATGCAGACTTTGTTTTGAGTCTCAATTTTAATTTTAATTATAGATATTCTTTTAGAAATGAGTTGCACAATTGAGAAGGCACTTGCTGATGCTAAAGCCCTTGTTGAAAGATTGAGAGATCATGACGATGCAGCAGAATCTCTGATTGAGCAAACCACAGCTCTCAACAAGCGAGTAGAAGCAATGAAGCAGGTTTGATTTTTCTTTGATACCATTTAACAGAAGCAGTCATTGACATTTATGTATTGCTTGAATCATAGCTACTGCTTTTAATGTTCCCTAAATTTTGAAGTAGCTTCACTTGTATGTTTAGTCTGCTTTAAATGAGGATATATTTGTCGTATTTAGATGGCATACATGTATGTATGTATGTGTGTTCTAAAACCTATAGATTTGCTGAGCACTGTAATCCCAGGAACTTGGGAGGCTGAAGCAGGAGTATCACAAATTCAAAGCCAGCCTCAGCAACTTGGCAAGGCCCCAAGCAACTTAGTGAAACCCTGTCCCAAAACAGAAAATTAAAAGGACTGGGCATGTGACTCATTTGTAAAGTGCCCTTTGTTCAATTCCTACTGCAAAAAAAAAAAAAAAAAAAAACCTGTAAGATTTATTACTTTTCTGATAGAGATGCACATTTGAGTTTAGACCTCAAATGAATTTATTAGGTCTAGATAAATTTGACAAAGACCAGATAATACCTTTTACTAATGTTGACATACATTTTGCTTTGTCTTATGTAAGACAGATGTGTTTATGTAGTTTTTTATAAAATGCTATTTAACAACCAAATATTTTCTAAAGTGATGCAAAGAAATATCTGGTTTACAGCCTATGCAGTAACACATTAGTACTTTCTATCTTGTTTTTCATTTAATGCTCTCAACTAAAAAGAAATTAAAAGGTTTTCATAACTTGATTTTTTACCATGTATAACAGTATCTTTCAGTGAACTATAGAGTCTAGCTACCATTTTAAACCCTCCTCTGATAAAAATTTTTAATTATTAAGAAAATTATACAATCTCATGTATTGTGATAGAAATTAGAGGGGAAAATGTATATTCACAGCCAACTTTTATGAAACTCACCCATTCTGTAAAAGGAAACAACCTGAGGTAATGCTCTTAACAAAGCTATGAAAAATAGTAAAGCAAGTTTACTTATTCTGTTTTGCAGTCATGTTGCCCTAAACAGATTACCTGCCTCCATAATGTGCGGTTTAACTCTGGCACTCCAGTGAACATATGCCTGGTATTAACTTGTTTTTAAAAAAGGAATTTGACATTTGAAGTTAAGAATCAGGAATGTTGTTATGAATCCATTACTAGGTGTCTCATAATGTCTTGAAAGTAAATGATTGCAATTTTGAAGTTACATTCTTACTTTTGGGGGGTGGGATACTGAAGATTGAACTCAGGGGCACTGGACCACTGAGCCACATCCCAGTCCTATTTTTTGTATTTTATTTATAGACAGGGTCTCACTGAGTTGCTTAGTTCCTCACCATTGCTGAGGCTGGCTTTGAACTTAACATCCTCCTGTCTCAGCCTCCTGAGCTGCTAGGAGTACAGGTGTGCGCCAATTATTTTTTTAATGCAAATTATTTTGCATTTCTTCCGCACATGTTCTTTTAAGATAATTTATATACCATAAAATTCCACCCTTTTAAATAATACAGTTCATTGGATTTCAGTATATTCACAGGTTGTGCAACCATAATCACTAATTACAGATCATTTTCATCACCCTAAAACTGTAGACCCATTAGCAGTATTTCCCTAGCTTTTCCTTCCCCTCCCCACTAGTAAGCACGAATCTTTTCATCTGTGATTTGCCTGTACTAGATAAGATGATATAATATGTGGCTTATTGTGATTGGCTGCTTCTTTTATTTTCCCCTGGTACCGGAGATTGAACCCAGGGGCACTTAACCACTGAGCCTACATTCCCAGCCCTTTTTAATTATTTTGTTTAGAGATAGGATCTTGCTAAGTTGCTTAGAGCCTCCCTAAGTTGCTGAGGCTGGCTTTGAACTCAAGATCCTCCTGCCTCAGCCTCCTGAACCACTGGGATTACAGACACTTGCCACCACAATTCCTGTCACAGCATGGAATCAGTACTTCATTCCTGTTTATTGCCCAATAATATTGCATTGTGAGGATGCAACACATTGTGGTTTATCCATTCATCAGTTGGTAGACATTTGAATTTGGGGGCTCTTACACAAAATGGTGTTATGAATATTTGTATACAAGGTTTGGCATGGATGTAGGGTTTCCGTGCCCTGGGGTATATACCTAGGAGTGGGATGAATGAATTATATAATATCTTGTATGTTTAACTTTTGAAGGATCTGTTTATTTATTTATACTTATTAACACATCAGATATGTTTCCAAATACTTTCTCCAGACATATTCTTTTTTAATCATTTCATTAGTATCAGGAAGAAATTCAAGAACTTAATGAAGTCGCAAGACATCGGCCACGGTCTACATTAGTTATGGGAATCCAGCAAGAAAACAGACAAATCAGAGAATTGCAACAAGAGAACAAAGGTAAGACATATTATCGCTGTAGATGAATGGCTTCTTTTCTTCTTCTTTTTTTTTTTTTTTTTTTGGTACTGGGGTTTGAACTGGGGCATTTTATACTGAGCCACATCCCCAGTTCTTTTTATTATTTTGAAACAGGGTCTTAAGTTGCTGAGGCTGGCCTCAAACTTGGGATCCTCCTGCCTCAGCCTCCTGAGTCACTTGGTATGACAGGTGTACACCCCCACACCCAGAGAACTTCTTTTCTTGGTCTTAGAATCTCATCCTCAATACTTAGTTTGCACCATTTTTTTTGTTACCTGTGAAATGACTCAGTTTCATTCTCTGCAGTTTCACTGCTTTAGCCCCCGTTAGGATGCTGTCCTCTTAATCTTTTGTCTGTTCTGTCCTAACTGGTCTCCTTGATTCTAGTCTTTCCACTTCCATCAGTCTTTAACACAAGCATCAGATTGATTTCTCAAAAATAAATCTAATCATGCTACTTTTTGCTTGAGAACTTTCATTGTATCCTTATTTCCTTACATAAGGAACTTCAAAGTCAATTCCAGGCCTTTTCTGTCTTCTTCCCACAGCTCTTCTCTGTGAATATTTTGCTCTTGCCATTTCAGACCAGTTTCTCAACACATCATCCATTTTAATGCCTCCTTACCTTGAATCTCCAATCTTTAATTTTTCAACCCAAGAAAATCAAAGTCATCCCCGTGTCACGCTTCTGGAAAACTTTCACAAATTTCTCCCCAGAGATTTCTCTTAAATGTGTTTGAGTAGCTCTGCACTTACCACATATTTGTTTTCTGTACTATACCCTAAACTCTAATAGTTTTGGGGTATTCTTAATATAGCAAGAGCATTGTCTGATGTTTATTTGCTATTTAGTAAATGTTTTCTGATACTTAAAAACTGAGTTTTAAAGCTGGGTACAGTTGTACATGCCTGTAATGCCAGTGACTTGGGAGGCTGAGGAAGGAGAATTGCAAGTTTGAGGCCAGTGTTGGCAACTTAGCAAGACCCTGTCTCAAAGTTAGAAATAAAAAGAGTTATGGATATACCTCAATAGTAAAGTGCACCTGGTTTCAACCCCCACCACTAAATAAATTATTTGTCTTTTATTGTTACATGGGTAGAATTTTATATATCATGTTTTCTTTTTAAAATATCCTATTTATTTTGGTATTTGGGTATTTTGGTAAATATTGAAGAGAATATTTTGTTTACCCTAAATTTTAATAAAATATACTGTTATTCTTGATAGAATTACGTACATCCCTGGAAGAACATCAGTCTGCATTGGAACTTATAATGAGCAAGTATCGAGAACAAATGTTTAGATTGCTCATGGCTAGCAAAAAAGATGATCCAGGTATAATAATGAAGTTAAAGGAGCAGCATTCCAAGGTAATCCATTCCATAAAGGTAACTTGAACGGGAAAAGAGGGACAGTTGGTTGTGTTCAGATTAAAAAAGGGATATCTAGTAATGCCGCCTTAACATGACATTGACTACTTCATGTTTTTAACTGACATTTTCTGCCTTCTCTTTTCTCACTTCTTGTTTGTTATGTGCCATATTCTGTTTGATTTTTTTTTTTTTCTAACTCATACTGTTTGCTAGTAACTTTTAAACAAGTATGTATGTATATTACACACACTGTTTTGGAAATAAAGGTAAGTTTGTTCAATTCAAAATTAGTTTTGTAAGTTATCTACTTTTAAGAAATATTTCTCCCAGTAAATTTATATAATGACATATTTTGTGAGAACAAAAATTGAAATGCTTTGAAATTTTAAAAAAATTTTAAAAGCAACTAAATGTAAATTTGTTTTTCTGAAGACCATTTTCTGAATGAGGCTAATTTATCTACTCTATGAATGATCCTGATTATAATGAAAAACTATGGGGCTGGGGAGAAGAAAAGATTGTACCAGTCTATTTAAATTTTGCCCTCGGGATTGCATACCAATTGACATCATTTTTAGAGGCAAAACTGAAGTGGTTAGAAACTAGAGTTTTTTTTCCTATTGTTCTTTTAGGATTCCTGTGTCTATTTCCTTTGGTATGTTTCTGTATTTACTGGCAACTGTTATGAAGATAAGTAGACTAATCTCTTCACCATTTACATTGTATTTTAAACTTAATTTTAGCTGCTGGTGTAAAATAGAAATATTAAAGGTTGTGATAACCTGGCCATTATCTGTAGTGCATAATAGTGAGATACTTGTTATTAGTTATTAAGAAATAGTGGTTGTTATAAGACATTTTTGATCTTTCTCAATTAGGAAAACACATTTTAGATTCTTTAAAATATTTCTTCCATCTGGTGCTTATGTTTTTAAATTATTATTAATTCTTCTGGAATTAAGTGTCTAGTAAATAACTCTTTGAGAAAACTTAATAGGTTCTTCTTGTGTCAACTAGTAAATTAATAAATTAACAACTTTGGGCTTGATATTATCTAATATTCATCTCCTAGCCAAATGGAAATCCTTGGCTATTTAGGGACAATCTTTTGAATATGAAATCTATAGTTGGGCTGGGGATGTAGCTTCATAGAGCACTTGCCCAGCCATGCAAGGCCTTGAGTTAGATCCCTAACATTAGGAAAAAAAAAAAAAAATCCATTGTTAATGAGACCATTACAAATCATTTAAATTTAACAATATAACTAAGACTCTTTTTTTTTAAATAATGAAGAGAAATTGAGTTAAAATTATTGATAAGATGAATGTAATCTTGACATATTCTAAAAGGACCTTCTCTTTTATAACTTGAAAAATAAATTTTAAAGATCTAATCTAAAGGGAAGAGAATACCATGTCAAAAAATGCTTAGGATCCGATATTGCAGCTTGTTAGTCCCATCTGGTAGCAATTATGACAGAGCAAATGTTTTCTAAAACACATTAGGGGATAGAGATGTAGTTCAGTGGTATTGTGTGTGCTTAGCAAGCATGAAATCCTGGGTTTAATCCCCAGCACAAAATATAAATAAAACACATTAGATTTAATCATTCATTGAAGCTATTTTACTAATTAGTAAAGTTAAACATTTTCTAGATTGCTCTAAACCATCCATTTTCATTATGTGGATTGAATTTAAGTGCTGATCCTTGCCTTCCATAAAATGACTATAAAGTTACTCGTTATTAATTCTAACTAATACATATTAATGTTTGTGATTTTGATTTTTCCCAAAAAGGAGACACCTTGACTCAGTTAAACAAACATTTATTAACACTTGCACGGGGTTAGTTGTTAAGCGTAATAACAATGTGAATGAACAAATAAGTTAAATTACTATTTGAGCTTGTAATGGGAGATACAGACACAAACCTAATTAATATAGGGCAGGGTCTGATAGAAATAGGAATTGTTACCAGAATACTAAAAAGCAATATTAGTTCTTGTGAGGAAAATCTGGAAAGATGTTCAGTAAAGAGAAAATGTATCCAAATTCAACCTTGAATTAATTATGAAGGTGGGGAGGGTTTCCATAAGCAGAAGTGGGTTAGGGAAATACCATAAAAGCACAAAACAATGGGATTCTAGGACATGTTTGAGTATTAGTGCCCTGATAACATCTAAACACAAAAATAATTTTATGACAGTTAGGGGTAACATAAAGTTACACATAGCAACATTTTGGAGTAGAAGACCCTTTTGAAATACTACAGAAGTTTGTGAGTGCACACTTAAAAATCTGTAGAAAGTTTGAGAATTTATTTTCATCTAAATAATTATTTTTATATTATTTTTAACATACCTTTTTGGAAATCTTAAAAAAACAAACATTTTGAACAGTTGGCTAACACGCATGAACTAACACTCATTCAGTTTTTAAAGTACGGATAATGTCCGTATTAACATTATAATGACTCTGTACTACAGATTGACATGGTACATCGTAACAACTCCGAAGGATTCTTCCTTGATGCATCTCGACACGTCCTTGAAGCACCTCAACATGGACTGGAGAGGAGGCACTTGGAAGCAAATCAGAATGTACACTAAATAAAACAGTCAATTTTGGGGTGTGGATGGAAAGGGGGTCCATTTAAAAAGTTCTTTTACTTTGAATTTCCCTCCCAGAATAGATCAGCAAATAAATGAAATCAACTAAAAATAAAATGCTGTGCTTTTGGTAGTTATGCTGTTTAGTGTAGAAACTTTAAAAATTTGTCATTAATTCTCTATATATTGTATCATACACAGTCACTAATTCTCTTGTGTATTGTATCATACACAGACTACAGATTTCAAATGATATTTAGCCCAGTTTTGCATTTATTTTCTCTTATTAGCTTTGTTGCTGCAGTTTTTGTTACAACAAAACAGTTACATCAAGGACATTTTCTTGTCCTGGACATTAAGGATATTTTCTTGACATTAATTTTAACCTGATTTCTTAAAGTCTTGATCCATCAAAAAGGAAATGTTTTAATTTAGATTTTTGATAGTTTGTAGTCCTTTACAGTTCACAAATAAGACAAAAATGCCTTTTGTTTATATAATTTAGTAGTGCTCTTTCCATGTGTCTTCTCTTTTTAAAAAACTTGTAGCCATTCTTTTATCTTCTTAGTAAAGTAAAAATAAGCCTAGACAAAGTTAAAAATGAAAAGCATTAGGTACACTCCTATAATCCCAGCAACTCTAGAGGTTGAAGCAAAAGGATCACAAGTTCAAGATCAGCTTCAGCAATTTTAGCAGGCTCCTCAGTAACTTAGTGAGACCCTGTCTCAAAAAATATAAAAGACTGGGGATATAGCTCAGTGGTAAGGCACCCCTGGTTTCAACCCTCAGTGCCTCCCCCCCCACCCTCTCAAAAAAAGTCATTTCAAAACAGTTTAATAATTATGTTGCTAACACTTTTGCCTTCAAGGCAGTTTTGAACCAGTCTTGTCTTTTACACCTATTGAAAACTGATTCCTCACAAAAGATTTTATAGTTAACAAGTGAACCATTAATTGGGCCTATAAAAATACTATCATTTAAAGTTTGGTTTGTTTTGTTTTGTTTTGTTTTTGTGGTGATCTTGTTAGAAGAGACTTTTTCCTGAAAAAGAAAGTAAATATCTATTTTCTTCCAGTTTAAAAAGACTTAATTGAGAATGCTATTGTTATTCAAAACTTATGTTCATTACTCATTTTGCTGCTGCAGTTATCTGTATTTACTTGCTTTTAAACATTATGTTCCCTTTACAAGTGGGAGGAAGTTTATTTTTTATTTTTTGGTACCAGGGATTAAACTGAGGGGTACTGAACCACTGAGCCACATCCCAGCCCTATTTTTTGTATTTTATTTAGAGACAAGGTCTCACTGGGTTGCTTGTTAGCACCTTGCTTTTGCTGAGGCTGATTTTGAACTCAAGATCCTCTTGCCTCAGCCTCTGTGCTGCTGGGATTACAGGCATGTGCCAACCATGCCCAGCTTTTAATGATTTTTTTTTAACTGTTGCAGAGTATGGCAAGTATGTGTCTTGATCCTTTTTGTTTACTATAATCTAATCCAAAATTGCCCAGTAGAACTTTCTGAAATGATGGAAATGTTCTTTATACTAATGTGGAAGCAAATAAGAAATGTACGCTAAATATATGTGTGGCTGTTGAGCACTTGGAAATGTCAGTGCAGGAATTAATAATTATATGTATTTAATTTTAATAGCACTGTGCTGGACAGTGCAGATTAGTTTTTTATTGTGCCTTCTTCTTAAGTACTCAACATTATATAGATGTCATCATTGGAATAATACAAGGAGAGGTAGGAGGGGGTATAGATCAATGGTAGAACATGTCTTAGCATGTGCAAGGCCCCAACACCAAAAAAAAAAAAAAAGAAATGCATTTTTATTAGATTATTAAATGAGGTGGGGAATGTAGCTAAGTGGTAGAGCACTTGCCTACCATGGAGTAAGGTCGTGGGTTCAATCAGCCCTGCAAAATATATATGTATATTTTATACACACAAATATGTATACATATATAAACTGTATATTTTTTAATGTGGTTTGCTAAAGATAGATCCATTCTTTTTTCCCTGTCATTTCATCCAGTTTGTTTTGTGGGGTTTTTTTGAGGTCTTGTTCAAATCCTGTTTACAATCAAAATATATACAACTATTTGAGACTTGATGTTTATTTGGAAAGTTATTCATTTTATATTTAAGCTTGGCCTTGATATAATAACCTCCATTGCCAATGAATAATGGTCGATAGAAACTGATAATGATAGTGATTTTTCTCACATTTCTATTGATTTTGAATGGTATTTGCTTCACTCGACTCTGAGCTCCTGCAGGTCAGGAAATAGTCTTAGCAGGCTTGATATTCCTGGTGCCTGGTACAGTACCTGGCACATCAGAGATTTGCAAAAAAATAAGGAATTCTCGAGTGGGACCTCATTTATGCACCTAACAAATGTGGATGTCTGTATTATGCTGAAATTATATTTTCAATGGTTGGCAAAGGCCATTTAAGTCTATTAAGTTCTCAATATTATATAGAAAACACTAAATAGGCAAATATAAACAGGATACAGTTCTTGCTTTCAAAGAGGATCAATTTATAGGCATGGATAATATTGAAAAGATTTGTGAATCATGAAAAATTGAAGATCAGTGTGTCAACAATTTTTTCTTCACAATTACTTTGACCCGTTGTATATATAGGTGTGAAAAAGAAAAAGTTGCTGATTCCTGTGGTTAGAGGAATATGAAACAAGTAAATTTCTTGGTACTGGGTTTAATTATATCTTGCTGCTTATCCTTAATTCTAATCCTAATAGAAATCTGATTTCAAAAACACATTCATTGTTAATCATCTTTGTTGTGATCTAACTACTACATTTATATTAAATGGCAATACAAGAATATTACATTCATATTAAATGACAGTGCAGATTTTATTAAAAGGATCCAAAACTAAAAATAATTTGAAAAATAAAGTATTTCACTGATTACCAACTCGTATGCCTTTTTTTCAGGAGTTACAAGCACATGTTGACCAGATAACTGAAATGGCAGCAGTGATGAGGAAAGCCATTGAAATCGACGAGCAACAGGGTTGCAAGGAGCAGGAACGAATATTTCAACTTGAAGTAAGTTTTAAATTGCAAGTGTAGGTGAAAACTGTCCATAAAAAGACATGCCAGAGGGGCTGGAGTTGTGGCTCAGTGGTAGAGTGCTGGCCTAGCACATGTAAGGCACTGGGTTTGATTCTCCACACCACATAAAAAAGAAAAAAATAAAAGGCATTGTGTTCATCTATAACTAAAAATATTTTTAAAAAAAAGACATTCCAGAATCCCATTTAAAAATGTACATATACTTTTCTGGAATACTTGGTAATGTTCTTTTCTTAATCTGGATGCTGGTTATATGAATATATGATGTAAGACTATACAGTAATGCAAGAATCTAGGATCATTAGGAACTTATACCAGTAGTGGAGAAAGTTATATTCCTTTTCTTACTAAATGAAGGTACTTATTTAATTTAGTAATTTTTATAAATTTGTTCATTCTATCAAGATAGTACAGGGAAAGGGTTCATTAATCCACATATATTTTTTGTGTACTCTTATTTTCCAAGGACTCTAAAAGTCTTTGTCTCGATCCATCTTTTATTTTGTATACAATTAATAATTGGAATAGACTTTGAAGTCATTATCGGGAAAAAATTGACTTCTTACTCTTAAACATGTATTCTCCCATTTGTGTTACAGGAACGGGCAGACTTTTCCAATAGTGAACCAGCAAATAAATTTTCTATACTTCTCAAACTAAACAGTTTGCACCTGCTCAACTTTGCCATGTAATGCAAAAGTAGCCACAATAATATATGATAAATTATAAAAGATTATTTTTAACTATCTGAAAATTTCTTAACAGTAATTCTAGAGTTGGGGGAGGCAAAATTTTTTTGTGTTTTGGTATTTGCACACAACACCTTTATTTTATTTACCTATTTTTATGTGGTGCTGAGGATCGAACCCAGGGCCTCAAATATGCTAGGGGAGTGCTCTACCGCTGAGCCACAACCCAACCCCCACCCCAAGGCAAAGTTTTTTACAGTGTCAAATATGGATACTTAATTTCCTTTTGAGAAATATCATCTACTCAACCCGGCTGCTCTCAAATTTCTGTGTAAGGGAAACAAACTAGATGGCTTGTCCTACATTCCATACTATCATGGAAAGTAATAAAAGTACTAATGTACTGCGAGGGTGTAGTCAGAGGGTATTATTCACTACCTTTATGAATTTATATCTAGATCCAGATGCTATTTTCTTCATCTTTAGTATGATTATAAGGCAGTTTGAGTTTTTAATCTCAGTTACATCTGTGTATATATAAGGCTTTGCAGTGGTGGGAGAGGGTGAACATAGTTCACTTTTTTAAAAGAAAAATTGTTTGGGTTCAGCTTGTCAACTATATGTAACTACATTTATGCCAGTTACAGAACATATATATATATATTTTTTTTTTTTTTGGCTTGCCTCCTTCTAGCAAGAAAACAAGGGCCTGAGAGAGATCCTTCAAATAACTCGAGAATCATTTTTGAACCTTAGGAAGGATGATGCATCAGAAAGCACATCTTTGTCAGCATTAGTAACCAACAGTGACCTGAGTCTGAGGAAGAGCTGAAAGGGTTCCAAGTCTGGGAACTTTGTATATGACTCTAAACTGTCACAAAGACTGGCCTATAAATGAATGAATGAAGAGAAAACTCAAATTCAATCAACCCTTTTTTTTTTTTTCTCTTTGGTTTTTAAAGTACAGTAGACTGGTTTAATACAAAAAAAAAAAAAAAAAAAAAAAATGTATAGTTGGTCATAAACTTTATTCCAAAACATAATTGAAATAGAAACTGAGCCATTGTTAATTGGTGAACAAACAAAGGGTTTTCACAGTGATGGCTGAAAATATCAAGAGCTTTCAGCAGTGCTATTGGCTTTCTAAATGATATACTTAGATACACTTGACTTTTCCCAGTAATTGTTTGGGAATTCATAGAATTATCCTAATTTACGATATTTTGCCATGGTTTTGTGAATGGAAGATCCTTATACTCAATTTAATCCTTCCTGTTTGGTGTCAGAGTTAACAAATAGGTTATGTACCATAGACTTCAGCTTTAGTGATTGCCTGTCTCCTTTCCCATTAATTTAAAATTTTTTTGTCAAAGAAAATTCAGGTTTAAAGGTTGCAGTAATGTTTTACATGTACCACAAATAAAAGAGGAAATTTAATTATAGCTAATTTACCACATAAATGATACTTAGCTAACAATTGTCCATAACTTGCTAAAGAATATGAAATATTTCAGGAATGAAAGATAAGGAACATTACTTTCTAAGAAAGAAGATCTTATAAATAAACATATGTAGTAGGTTAAACTACTCCTCTGAAAGAATAAGTTTTGGTTTTTAGTCAATAATAAAAACAATTTTTCTCTTTTCTGTTTGGTATTTAAGGACCTCATATATTTCATTTACTTAACAAAGTTGAAATGTTTCATGTAGTAAAATAGGTATGGTAATTTCAAAGTAAATTCAAAATTATGGTTTACCCAACCCTTTTTTAAGTAATTAAGATACAGAAAAAGTAGACTCAAATATTAAAAAAAAAAAATATTTTTAAGCTCCATCTGCCTCATTCCCTTAAGGTTTTTTTGGTTTGGTTTTTCATTACTACAGGGGGTTGGAAATCTATGGATTTACAAGTATTGGTTTTATTAAAACATGTCAAACAGTAAGTAGATTTCTTTTTTAAAGCAAAAAGACACAGAAACTTTGACACCAATTGAAACCTAAATTTTTCTTTATTTTGTAGTGATCATATAGAATAAAAGAATGAGTATCAAATATTATTAAATATACTCATTTTATCACACATTAAAATTAACACATAGAAAATTCTACTTATGAGTATATAATTTGTTAAATATTATGTCATGACAATTTTTAAGTATGATTTCATATATTGATAAAACTCAAAACTACTTTTCACTTTAGAAATTTTCTACATTAAGTTTGGGGAGAGAAGGGTAGATGGGGCTTACTGATTAGAAAAGGGTTAATAATGGCCCAAAACATTAAATTTCTTTTTTCATTCAGAGGCCTTAACTGATACTTTATAAATGACAGTCTTTTATTTTTAAACTTTTCTATTTTTTTCAGAAAGCAGACCTTAATTCAGTGGCACATTCAAATAGTTTTTATCCCAAGTAAAAATTAAATAAGCTACACAGTTGAGATTCTAAGGCAATTCATTAGGCAGCTGTAATTATAAACATTACTTGATAAATATTTTTATAAACAGATGAGTTAATTTATTCTTGGTGTTCTTGCTTGAATATGATTTTAAGGTCTTGGGTGTTTGAAAGACTTTGTTTTTAATGACAGTTTTCCATCCCCTACCCCCCCCCCTTTTTTTTTTAAGAACTTCAAATTTGTGTCTGAGAGTATATACTGCATAGGAGACTATTTTATCAATAAAGATGGATGATTATAAATATTGGTATGGTCTCCAATTTAATTTTAAAACAATGCTTACATTTCTTACGGTAGTTCATTTTTAAGGCCTTTTGTCTTTTTTATCACAGGATGATACTTAGCAACAATCTCTATTTATATTTCCTAGGGATTGGCCAGTGGCTTATTGCTGATCCTGCAAACCTTTTTATCATCAGTAGTGGGTTGAATAGTATCCCCCCAAAGGGTAGGCCCAAAGCCTAACCCACTATACCTAGCAATGTGACCATATTTGGAAATAAAGGATCTCAGGATAATATCACTCCACATTAGACATGGCCCTAAATCAATGATTGGTGTTCTTATAATGAGATTTGCAACACAGAGAGAAAGCCATGTGAAGATGGAGGCAGAAATTTATGCAAGTCAAGAAACACCAAGGATCATGAGTCACTGCCAGAACCAAGAGTGAGGCATAGAATGGATTCTCAGCTCCAAGAAGGGAACAACTCCTGCTTGATTTCAGACTCTGGCCTCCAGAATTGTGAGAAAACAAATTTCCATTGTTTTAAGCCACCCAGTCTGTGGGTAATTTATTAATACATCATTTGTTTATCAAGTATAAGCTATATTTTTAAATTTTTGTATAGGAAATACAGTTCTAAAAAACCAATTATACAAACTCAGATAAAATGCTTTCTGTTCAAATTTATAATTGCTGGTATACTTTAATATCAAGGTAACTCCCACAATTTTAGATTAGTTCTAAACTGCTTCAGGGAAAATAATAGAAGATCATAGATCCATAACTTAATTTGGGGTGACCGCTACTACCTTTTCCAATTGACCAAACAGGAATTTTTTTTTTTTTTAATAAAATATTGATGGAGATAATTTCTAACTGGCATTTTAGGGGACATTTTCCTTTAACTTCCATCCCCTTTATTCCTTTCTTTTCTCTGACCTCAACATTAGCCACCATCAGTCCTTATTCCTATTCAGTGTTAATATCTCTACTCACCTCCTTGGTGATGTCATTTGTATGCTGGATGATACACTACAGTTTGTACCGCTCAGTAACTCTAAACTCATCCACCTGTGACTGCCAAAGAGACATTTCAAATTTAAGATGTCCAAAAAGAACTCCCAGAACCTCTCCATACCATTCCCCATCCCAGTTAATCCCATTGCCAGCTGCCAAGTTCAAAAACTCCAGTGGCATCTTTGACTCTACTTTCTAGCTTGCATCTAACTCAGCAAATCCTGCTGTTCTTTCTTCAAAATATATCAGAAACCTACCATTCCTCACCGTCTGCATGTACTGTTATCCCTGGTCCAAGCCATATGGGAGTGAACAAATTGGATTCGACCTAAATAACCTCCAACAGGAAAAAGAGTTGTCAATTTTCACAGTACTTAGTGTGGTTTATTATGTACTGAATTAGTCCATTGTGGTTACATAAAACCTCAGCATTTTGTTTTGTTCTTATAGGCTACTTTAAAATGGAGGTGATCTGTTATACTCCTGGTCTTAAATTTCAGCACTACTCTGTGGTCAAGTGCTCAGTGCTGATCAAAAGTTATTTTCAAGATCACGCCTATAATAATCCCAGCTACTGAGAAGGCTGAAGCAGGATCCAAAGTTCAAGGCCAACCTGGGCCACTTAGCAAGATCCTGCCTGCCCTGCCTCCAAATAAAAAGTTTAAGGATTTTAAAGTGGCAGAGCACATACATAGTATGTGCGGAACTCTAGGTTCATTGCTCTGGAAAAAAAAAAAAAAGTTATTTTTCCATAAGTGAATGAATTTCTCAAATGTTATCTTGTCTAGAATATGTTCATCTTAAGACCTATCTTGTTAGGTATGGTGGCACATGCATGTTATCCCAGCAATTTGGAAGTCTAAGGTGGGAGGATTTCAATTTCGAGCCCAGCCTCAGCAGTTTTGAAGCCCTAAGTAACTTAGCAAGATCCCATCTCATAATTTTAAAAAGGGGAGGGGATATATCTCAGTGGTAAAGCACCCCTAGGTTCAATTGCCAGTGCCAAAAAAAAAAATCTATCTCAATGGACATAATAAGGTTTTTGCAACACTTAGGACCCACATAAAACACAAGACAGCAAAAATGCTATCTGAGTAAGAACTCAGAAGTGAGTTGGTTTGGAAGGAAAATTGAATAGCTCTATTCATGGAACAAAACTACACTGAAAAACATCAGGCATTAATAAGCAAAATAAGAGGAGTTGTGTTTTTGTTTTTTTTAAGTCTTCAACCATAGGCCTGAAACTGTCCCACCAGAACCCTAGGCCCAGACCTGACAATACACTTATTTTACTTGTTTTAAGGAATTTTGATACACGGATGGTCTCCCCCAAAAGACAGCTGGTTTGGGGGGGGTGGTTTTTTTAGGTATTAGGGGTGGAACCCAGGGATGCTCTACCACTGAGCTATAGCCCCAATCTTTTTATATTTTATCTGAGATAGGGTCTTGCTAAGTTGCCTAGGCAGGCCTCAAACTTGTGATCCTCCTGCCTCAGCCCCCTGAGTTGTTGGGATTATAGGCATGCTTATGCCAGCTGTGGAGGGGAGGAGAGGAAGAGAAAATGGATGAAAGAAGGAAGCTGAGAACTGCCTGATTGAATTGCTGAAAACAATTCATAGAGAATTGGGGAGCAAAAGCACGTTTAATAATAATTTCACTTGCTTCTTCAAGCTCTTCATTTTAATCTCTGTCCCTCTGCTCAAAGGCCCCAGACACAGACATCCATGAACTTCTCAACAGCCCACTGTGAGTTTGGGCAGGTCAGAATACATGCATACAACAAGCTGGGCAATGGAATCTGTCAGCAGAAACCAGGAACTTCATGTGAGAAAGTAAGACTTTCACCCCTTAATATTCCCATAATTGGCCACTCTGTAATCTTGCAAGGGAAGGTATTCACCCTGGGAGTGACAGATCCATTATAGTTGTGTACAGGCCTTGAATAGGAAAAATCACTTTGAAGACGTGCTGACCCATCTCCTGGAGAACAACTGCCAAATTCTACGGTTTGGAGAGGAATTAAAGCAGCAAGATAAATATTAAAGGCAAGGTATTCACTGCAGTTTTGTGTTGCAGTTAAAATTTAACCAAGACTGATAGCACCCTTCTCAGAACACTGAGTGCTGAACCCACCAACCACCAGAATGAAGGATATAAGGACAGGCTCACTTGAGGGCTCTCCGTAATGAGAAGGGAGGCCTAGAGGCTTTGCTTCCCCTCTACTACATGGGACACACTTTGCCCCACTTTGGCTTAGACTCTCCTACTCACCCTTCAAATCTCAGCTTAAACCACTTCCTCAAGAAATTCCCTGGTAGGCCTTTTTCTACCCCATCAGAAATTTTCATTGCATATTGATTGTACCTCTTTGTATACCTATTTGATATCTGCCTGCCTCACTACACTACACCCTGAGAGCAAAGAGCAGGCCTATACTATCTGCCATCAGCTTCCTAGTCCCCAAGACAATGTTTGGCACATAAACTGCCAAATATGTATTTTAAAAAGTAACCAAGTCAAAGACCACTATTTTTTTTTTCTTTGCCTCTTATTTTGACATCACTTGAACTAGATCTGCCAGTCTCCCCAGTGTTTGCATGGTACTCCCTGGATAAATCAAAAGTTTTATTAACTTGGAGCTCCTCTTTATTGTCAGTTTCATAGAGTGGTCCTTGCAAATACAATGCCAAATTGTCAAGAAACATTTCCACCAATTATTGAAATAAAATGATTTGCAAAGTCCATTGCCAGGAATGCCATAACAATATCACAGGCTGGATGGCTTAAACAACAAAATTTTCTCATAGTTCTGGAAGCTAGAAGTATGTGAACAAAGTACCAGAAGGACTAGTTTCTCCCAAGACCTCTGCTGTGTTTGCAGATGACAATTCTTGCTGCTTATTCAAATAGGCTTTCCTCTGACCCACGCCCCTGGTGTTTCTCTGTATATCCTACTCTCTTATTAGTCAGATTGGACTGATGGCCTCAATTTAATCTGATCATCTCTTTAAAAACATTATCTCCGAATACAGTCACATTCTGAGATACTGGGAGCTACAGCTTCAAAATATAAATTTGGTGGGTTCACAGTTTAGTCCATAACATAAAAGGAAAACACAGGTAAGCTGCTATCCCATTAAGGGCTAAGGCACAATGCAAGACCAAGCTCCAGGGCAAGGCCCTGTTCTCAAAAAATTAGAGCCAGGAACTATGCGCTTTATTAAAGGTTACTAAAAGGTATCATAAACATCATCGTCCTCAAACTGGGGATGGTAGCACAGACCTGTAATCCCAGCAGCTTGGGAGGTTGAGGCAGGAGGTGACTAGGTGAGACCCTGTCTCTAAATAAAAATACAAAAAAGGGCTGGGGATGTGGCTTAGTGGTTGAGTGCCCCTGGGTTCAATTCCTGGTATCAAAAAAAAAAGAGAACATTAAAACAAAAAGTTCTAAACAAATGCTACTGTACAGATATTTATGGATACTGAAATATTAAATACCAGTCATTTGAAATTAAAAAAAAGAAGTGGGCCAGGTGTGATGGTACATGCCTATAATCCAGCAGCTCAGGAGGATGAGGTAGGAGGATTGCAAATTCAAGGCCAGCCACAGCATTTAGCAAGGCCCTATGCAACTTAGTGAGATCCCGGTCTAGAAATTTAAAAATAACATAAAAAAGGGCTGGGGATGTGGCTCAGTGATTAAGGGTCCCTGGGTTCAATCCCTGGTACAACAAACAAAAAACCTACCATGGTCTGGAACCACAAAGCATTAACTTGGAAAAACATGCTTGTGTAAAATGAGTAATTCCTAAAAATGTCAGAGTTATAAATATTAACATGAGAATATCCTACCAATTTATTAGAAGAAAATTGAAAATAATCAGTGACTTACATCTTTATGACAGAATACAAAGCACATTTGGATAGAGCATTGAGCATCCCCAACTTTGGTCTCGGCAGTTGTCTGAGAATTTCCTCAGGCATAAAATTAAAAGGACAAATAACATGATCTCTAAAGTCCTTTCCAGGCACAGTATTCTAGCAAATTCTTTGTTGGGATCAGTTTTCTATCACCTTCTACAGAAAATTCAACTGGCCTACAAGTACTATTTGGCTAGTGTGGTTTGGCTACCTGGTAACTAACCTGTAACAGATCAGAACGTTCAGAAAATATTTTAATAGTGTAATAGGTTTTCCTGTAACACTAGTACTTTTTATTCAATTTGATACCTGAAGAACTAATGAAACCAACACTATATTTTAATAACTAGGCTTTTTAGCACTTTTTTCAAAATAGATATATTTATTATAAAAACTATACAAACTGGTTTTTTATTACAAATTATCATGAAAGTTTTTAAATAATTTGTATCCTTGTTCCCAAAAAAAAAAAGGTGTTCCACCTTTTATAGTCTTGACTAGCAGAGCATTCTAAGGGTACCAAGAACAACTCACAAATATTCCATTTAACTGTTAGAATGTACAAAGATTGAAGAAGCCAGAGTCCCTACAGTAAATTATTTTAAATTTGAATAAAAAGTCTTTTAAGTGTTACTGAAGTTACAAACAGTAAAAAATTA